AAAGATTGCATAGAGTCTAAGTATAAAGTAATTTAGTATTTGTATTCGTTTTTAACCTATACTATAGGATTATCTTCAATAAAATGTAATTCTATTCAATTTTATATGATATGTCGATAAACTTTAAAATTCCAGTAATTTTGTGTGGGATAGAAGTCAATGCTGATGTTTGCAGACAAAGAGCACAAAAATGTACAGAACGATCTTGCTCGTTTTTCTCGATAATACCACATAAAATGACGTGTCCTGCTAGTAATACTTGTTCTCCTTCTATAAAATTTCTCTATGAACTGCTACAAGTAGCATATTTCATTATATCAGATAGTAATATATAATTCATTTTACATTGACGACTAACAAACGACCCAGATAGAGTAGCTATTTTGTAAAAATACAGCGCCCTCTATAGTTCATGAAAAACGCGAATAGTTTGTCTTGGAGACCATTTGGGCGCCCCTCTGCGAGTGGCACCCAAATGGTCTCCAAGACAAACTATATGTTTCTGGAGAGGGAGGGGACGCCAATAAAGTGTCGTGCCCCGGGCGCCAGTTATGTTCGCTACGCCACTGATAAAGTATAAAGGTTTAAGGCGGGTTGAGTTTTGTTGGACGTCCGAAGAGGAGAGGGGGTTACGGAAACTTGGAAAGATTGGGACAAGAGGGGAAGGGGAAGTAAAAATTTCAAGAAAAATGCGGACGTAATTTATAAAGAGCCTCATAATACAGTATTTTCAAATGCAGTAACTCATCAATAAACGTAATTTATTGACTTTTAAAACAAAGAAGTTCTGTATATATTTGTCTTACAGAAACATCACGATGAGCCTGATTATCTGATGTGGTGGGTCAGACATTTGAGCTTCATTTTGCTGCAGTGAGATTTTATTAACAAACGTAATCCGTTCCAAAACTTTGTTCGCTATCCGAATTGTTCGTTAACCGATTATCGATTTACCATACGTTTTTATGGGAATTTGATTAATTCGTTTTGGAGACTCCAAAAAAATAAAAAATAAATACCTTTTTACTACGTTTATTTATATGTAATAGTAAAAATACATATATATGCAGTCTTGCATTTTTATTAGTCATGTTTTTTCCGTTTGTGGGGGTTAAAGAATCTGTCTAATGTCGATTGCTTTTCTGTCTTCTTCAGGATTCCCATAAAAACGTATGGATTATCGATTTACCATACGTTTTTATGGGAATTTGATTAATTAGTTTTGGAGACCCCAAAAAATAAATAAATATATATATATATATATATACTTTCCTACTACGTTTATTTATGTTATAATAAAAATACCTATATACACAGTCTTGCATTTTTGTATACACACCTATATACGTTTATTTATATGTTATAATAAATACCTATATACTGTACACAGTTTCTCCATTTGTGGGAGTTAAAGAATCTGTCTAATGTCGATTGCTTTTCTCTCTTCTTCAGATTTTTCAGTAATTAATAGCAATGTAATTGTAGAAATCCTCAAGCCTATTAACCTCAACCTGGTTTGGATGCCACTCTAAGACCGTCGTTCTGAATCCTCCCACTTATTCAAAAGATCTTTAATTAATAGCAGATATCGGCATTAATACTCTTTTTCAGAATAAAACATATCTTGCGGAGTTTCTTGGCGTTTTTTTCGTCAGATCAGTTTTAGGGTTCATTATCTGCTCTTCAATGTTCTCTATTTCTCAGATGTGATTTTTGTTACTCCTTTAGCTGCTTGAGTCTTCTTGATTATACAGTATTGTTCTTAAATAAGATTGAACTGCGGCCTACTGTAGACCTGTTCAAGCCATACTGCTCAGTAACATCAGACATCTTCTGCCCACTCCTTGCTATTATACTCTCACTTTTTGAAAATAAAAACCGACGCAAAACTTAATGAATGCCTGCCCGACAATCTCGCAAATACTATAAAAGAATTGTCTGTCAGAAAAATAAAAGGCTGGAATTACAAGGGAGAGTTTAAAACTTTGGAGGAATACTATCCGATCAGTATATACCACATTGAGCGTCGATGTCGACGTCTTACGCGCTCCGAAAAGTTTCGAATTGCCCGAAGATAAGAGTAGACCAATTGGTATTCATTATTTTACGTCGCTTCTTCTTGTGTTTGTTCTGTGAGGTGTTCATAATCCGAAAATAAAATGTTTTTCGAAAGTGTTCGTTATCTGATTTGTTCGATAACCAAACTGTTCGTTAATCGATCACCCACTGTATTCATGAATATGAATTTCAAATAAGTACAGAAATTAAGTATGATGGTATATTAATATCAAAAGCAACCAATCATAGAAATAGTACATTTTTTGAAGGACCTTCAGTACATTTTGAAATTTTATTGTGGCAACGCTGTATACAATAGTATCAGAGCAACTAGGCCTATATCTAACTTATCGGTGAAACATGATAACGAATTCTTTTTTATACCTTGCCATACAATTATCTGCACGACAAGTTAGTGGCATTCCTGTTACGCTCCTGTAACACTTGAGTCTAAATAAATAGCAATTACGCCAGAAATGGTTATCATAAGTCGGCACACAATCCGTCCACAGCATATGTACTTTTTGCCTTAGAATATCATGGCGGCGACTAGTTTCTTTGGATTCAGATGGCGGCGTTAAGTTTTATATGATTTGAGGTCTAATAGTTATATTTCTTTGGATAAAAACCATTTTGTTTCTTTTCTTGTATTTTAAAATAAAACATTTGCATGCAACAAAGCGTTTAACTATCGGGGTTCGGTGTTGACGAGCAGTATTTCTGTCGTTCTATTTATTGTTTCTATCTTACAATTAGAATCTGATATATTTATCACTTAATAAATTTGGCCTTTCAATTTGATGAGAGATTTGAATTTATTTTCCATATATACCGTTTATAAAATAAGTAGGCCATCTCTATTTGGAGTTGTTGGTAGCTGGAAGGAATAACCCAAATGAAACTAAAATTGGTACATTTACTATTTAAGAAGGGGGAAGAAGAATGAAACATGAGAAAAAAATGCCGGTAAAGGACGTTGTAAAGTTTGAAATGTAATGTGTAATATAAGAAGAAAGAATTATGGTGCAAAACTGATGGGATACCGGTATTTATTTTAAAATGTCACAGTTAATATGGTTACGCTGTCTCATGGCGTTGACGATTCCGTTCAGGTTCCACAATACCGGTATGTCCATTGTACTGGACTACGGTACATACCGGTATTCCAGGCAATGCAAGACACACTTAACTGCGGAATGTAACGCATCAGGAGAGATGCTCCGCACCTATTGCTATCTTTTAATTTAAAAGCATTTAGGTTTGAGATACCTCCACGGTACACATTTGATTACAATAGCGATTGAAACGACAGGTTCCATAGCGTCTTCTATGGGCAATATTTTTCTTATTCCATTTTTCTTCCTTTTTCTTAAATATGTACCAACTTTGGTTTTATTTGGGTTATTCCTTTCAGCAACCGACATAGGTACAGTATCCGAAATCGAATCCTGGCGAACAACCTCAAAAATTTTTCGTGGGCGGTTGTTCCAGATATGTTAATATTGTGAGGGACGAATGGATGAAAATGTTGTATTGACTTTTGGTCATTTTACAATTTCGTCATTTGACTTCGATTTTTTTATTAAGAGCTATCATAAAAATTAGTTCCTACGGACTTGTTTTCTTGTTGAGGATGATCCATCTAGTCATTAGTGCATCATCCGGAACTTTCAATAAATTTCCAGTATTGGACGCCAGGCCCTTAACAACAGACTCCTGACTTATGGAAAAAACCCAGAAGGAACCCAAATAACAAGAGAGAACGATGACAAATCCAGTCAGTCGTCCTCCAAAGCTCGCCTCTTCAAGAGTTATAACGTTCAAAATACCGTGCTTCCGCCGACCTTATCATAAGAATACCTTATAGGCCTACACCTAAATGCCTCAACACAAGTCGGATACCAAAGTATCTTCTGTTACCTGAACACTCTAAATAGCAAGAACTTTCCATAAAACATCCCAAGAATCCCGACGTTGAATCATCCAGTCATCAATCCTCGATTCTTTATAAGGGAATTATCCACACGCGAATATCCTGTAAACTCTCTCTCTCTCGCGACAGTTAGATTCGATAATCTAGGGATATAGGCCGTATATCAATTCAAAATGTCTATGATCGTATAGCGCGTAGTCCTGCTCGTTAAAATAAATTTGTTATTTTTTTTTTTTAGATTTAGTATGTCTCTCTTTAATCCGAATTAGTAAAAAAGTTTTTACTAATTCGGATTAAGAGACACATTCTAAATCTACGTATTCATCAGCTACCACACCGGATATTGAGAATAAATTTGTTATTGTTTATTAATCTGGAATCCGAGTGAATCACTTCCTCGTTTCTCTCTCCTCACATCTACTCCGAATCCAACCGCTTATCCGCGACCGCTCGCGTGACATAAGAACCTTCCGTCGCGATTTCCGGGTCCTGAGACAATCGGTAGTGTCATATCCTGAAGAGGTGTCAAAGAGACACCGACTTTACGGTCACAATATTAATCATTGTTTGTTTTGAGAATTTCCGATAATTACTGCAACATTGCTCAATTACAGGTTACGATAAGAAAGCCGTAAAATATTTAAAAATGATTGGTTGTCGTAAGCGATAATGTCATCATAGTAGTATGAACGGTATAAACGCGTATGAATGTGAGGCGGAACGAGAGCTGCCATTTCCGTGCTGCTAAATAAAGCTTTGTTCTCTTTATACAGAATGATTAGTGAATGATACAGAATGCAACTGCGACTGGAACCTGTAAAATTGTTATTTGCATTAATATAATTGAACGATGAGTTCAATTATATTAATAAACTGCCATCAACAGCAACACTGCATACAGTAATACTATTGCACAGATGCAGGTTCAGATGTAGCTATTGTCGTTAATAATATTACTCTTTTTGCCATGTAAACATTAAAAAGGATTACATTAGTTGTATATGGCAACACGACACGTAAGGAGGAGTGCCTCTCGGGAGAACTTCAATGGAAAACTGACCCCTATTTAGGTGTTACAAACGTGAAGAAAACTAGGAAAATTCTACGTTGTCAGCCCGTCGGCGAGGCGCAAACTCACGAAAAACTACAAATGTTCGGTTTTTTTTCACTCAGCTACTAGTGGGCAACTTTAAAAGGCCTCCAATCCTGTTCATTGCGGGTTGGACCATATCCATAATGGTGAGGGATGGGGCTCAAAGTATCTGGGACAGAGCTTTCATGAAAAATTCTTGGAGACTTGCTCGCATGGATTCGATCCCGACTCCTCCAGAGAGGTGGGCCGAGACCTTCACAGCCACGACCTTCATCCTTTAATTATTTTTACACACGAAGAATTTCAAAAATAAATAAATAAAAGTAAAACCAAAAATTAATCATTAAAATTTTCTATCTTCGTCAATTAACGCGTAACAAAGAAACTCAACAATTGATCTTTCATTGTTTTGCTCTTTTGTTGCGAAGAGTGCGATTTCGAGTGATTTAAAAATGTTTTTTGATTCTGGCGATTATCGACCCTTGTCTCCACCCTTGGGGTAAGACATTTTTCACATTTTATTGTTATTTATGCAAATAAGAAAGTCATTCGAAAAATTAATGGCTTTAATTAAAAAGAAATTGCTCGGTGCAAATGATAATTAATTAAATTTAAATTAAATTGTGTATTAGGAAAATCGATGCTATTAAATTTTGGTTGTTAATTAAAGGTCGAGGGTTGGGGAGATAAAAGGGATCATGTGTTTTATCTCGAGTAGGGTCAGACATAATGACAATTTTACTCTTTGTTAGCATTTACAAATCTTTTATAAATCCCATCACCTACCCTTAAAATTAAGCATTTTACCATTTCACAATAGCTAAAAATATAAAAAGCTTTTAATAAAATATCATAACAGATAAAGCCACCAAATGTTGCCGGGAAAGTTAAGCAACTCGTTGCTGGATTTTTAAAATTAAGTTTAATCATTTTTAGACACGTTTTTCTCTCATTCTTCAAAACTCTCCTTGTTTAGGCGATGAATATATGGTCACTCCATATGTGTAACACAATGATGATATATATATATATATATATATATATACTTATCTACACTTAGAAAAGGTACAGGCGGCTGCGTATTCTTCGACTCTATTAAAAACTATGGATCTCTGTCGTGATGTTATTGGGTCCATCGTTAAGTCACACATACCTCCTCTATATATAATCAAGATTCGATAGAGCACCGCTGTTCTCTTGTGAGATTGGCACTAAACCGAAAAATCTCAGAGATAAGAATTACATACAGTACTGTAATGAATTCTGAATTCGAATTAGGGGAGGCTCACATGTACACAAAATACTAATAACTTTAATACCGCGAGTTTCTAAGCGATAATTTGTTTATTTAATGGAAAAATTTTGCTAAAGGTTAGATAAAATTTTTTCCAAGTAATGTATTGTAATTTCTCTATTAATTTTACAAATATTTATTGCATTGTAAATTCTTTCTTTCCACTTTTAGTGGGCGATTGGTTGAAGATAAGGAGGATCATGGATTAGATAATAACGATATGGTTCCTCCAACAAAGATGAAAATGGATAAAGATTTTAGAAAGCAGGAGGATAGCAAAGAGAATAGTTTTGGCTATACTATTGGCTATACTATTGGATATACTATTGGATGTGCTATTAGAGATAGAAAGGCATTGAAAAAAGCCGGTTCTTTCTTCAAGGCAGTATGGAAACCAGTCAAGAGGTAAGTTTCTGTATATGTCAGTACAAACAAAGTTAGATTTAGCTCGGTCATTCGTTCGCCGTTACAATTCTCACTGAATCCAGTATGATGCTAATCCAAAGTAGCTCAAACAGCAACAATTATACACAGTATTAAGATGTACACAGAGATTTGAGCTTGAAACCTTCGTAATTTTTATGAAAATGGCATAACTTTCCTATATTTTTGGCGCTACATCGAGATTTACCAAACTAGTTTTATTTCTAATCCAATGAAAAGATAAGCTACAAATGAAAACAATAATAACAAGCAATTATTTATTGTGACATGGTCACAATGTCGGGCTGCAATTTTTAATAGAGGAAATTTATAGTACAATTTTTCCAAATTGCAGCCCAGTAATTATAAAGCTTTTAAAATAGTAAAATTGAATTTAAAGTATCGCTGAAAGAATATCATTTAGAATGAATAAATATAACAATTTTTGATTCTCAATTTGATATGATGCAACATTTACAATTAATCAATATAAATACAGCCGAACCTCGATATTGCGCTCTCGATATGTTTTGATAAAATTCATATTCAGATATAGGTTTTCAATAAATAATTTAAACTTGTTTTTCACATTCCAGATCAGCGCAAAAGGTGTGGAAAAACATGAAGACTGGAGAAACTGAATACGTTCAGTTTGAATAAGGATCTCTTTTTCTCCATCATTGAATCAAGTATAGGATTTATCTGCTTGATTTCGTCCGACTTCGTCTCGGGTAAGTGTTTAATCGGAATATTTTTATATTTTATACTCAGCACTTACGAGATTTTCCACTATCAACTTATAAATTAAACACCATTTATATCCCCAATGTACCACCAACACACAATGGCCAGGTAACAGGAGAACAGGAAACGTGTATTAACATGGAGATACATTATGTTCTTCATACGATTCAGATTTTACATATAGACAGACTAGGCTAGGCTTTTAAAGCATTAGAAATACATATATACAGTATATGTATATTTTTGTCCAAGTATCGACAAAAATATATTCTGAAAGTGTACTAGTCTCGTAACATAGGAAAGTAACAGCATAAATGGGAGTAAAGATTAAAATATTCAGCAAGTTTATGTGAATATGAGTACACGAAGATTCTAAAGTAATCAAATTAATCATAATATATTTGAATCATAATAAATGACACAATAGTAGCGAATTAACAATTATGCACTGAATAATTTTCGCTTGATTCGTATATAATTGTTTTTAGAAGGAAATAAACTTACTGATTTAAAAATTATTTAAATAATTGAATATTTCAGATAAAAATATTGATTATTTTCATTTTATTTTTACAGATTTTAGAAGAAATTTAGAGATTTTCATCTCTATGCAGTGTACAGTACATACACTGTTTTCTTTATTTGTTATGTTTATTGTTTTGTTTGTGTTTGTTCGTTTTCAATTTAAAAAAAAAATTAAAAATTTGAAATCTAAAATATATTTCTTGATTAATGAAATTGCTCACTTGCTTTGAGAATGGTTTGAACAATTCTAATTATATGGACTTAACGACTGTGGCTTCCTCGAACTTGACTTTATTTCGATTATGGCACTTTAACTCAATTGTGACTTCCTTAATTTTGACGTTATCCCGATTTTGACTCTAACTTTAATTATATCCCGATTGTGACGTCTCGAATATTGATTTTAACTGGATTGTGACTTCACCAATTTTGACTTCCAATTGCATCCTCTCGAACTGTGACTCTTCTAATGTTAATTTGTAATTGTGTCTACCCGAATTTCGGCTTTCCATAATTGTGTCCGTTGTTTATTTTGTTGATGATGAAATTATTTGCCAAGTGTCAATAAATTCACCAAGTCGTGACATTGAACCAAACAAAACAAGGAGAAAAAGACACGGTTTCGACAAATAAATAAAACAAGATTTCTGAAATATTAAAAGATACACATCATGAAATGGTAAGTGGAATTATTCTTAGGAAATAACAAATTTTAAATAAATGTAACTAAGCATTGTTTGTCGTTTTCAGATTACGGATCCTGATCCTAAACTTCTATGATTAAGAAGCATTCGGAGAGTTCGAGAGAAAGGACTTCAAAATTTTTCAACAAGCAAACAACATGGATTCATTCGAATTACATTGAATTAAACGCGTGCATAGTGCAGCTGCAAAAAAAAAAAATTAATCAATTTAAGAATGCTTCGGGAAGATGTTCTCTCCACAGTTCTGGCATTGCATCAATTTGAAAACTTCTAAATTAATCATCTTTATACAAAGATAGTTTGATGAATGATTAAATGCGACTAGAATAATAATATTAAAAAAGTACAAATTGTTTCTGTAAATACTTTTGGTTGTCTAATAAACACTTTTGTTTGATTTTGCTTCCAATTATTTCAAGATCACAAAAACTTGTCGCTATTCTTGTTTTTTAGATTAAAATTAAACGTCAAAAGCTTGTATTGTCGAATAATTCGAGTGGTGCAGCCAGTGGCGTAGCGTAGTGGGGGCGGTAAAGTTACTTTTTAGGGGGTGGCAAAATTTCACAATAAATAATAATAATATTATGTAAAAATTTGAACCATTTTATCCCATATTTTCGTCGCACCTACGATTCGGACCGATTGAAATGAGCACGGAATAGTCCGGGAATTGACTCACCGTCCGGGTGAACTATTAATTTCACCCGGGAATGCAGTGCGCAGCCTGTCGACCTTTTTTTTTTGCTTATACGATTCATTTGTATTCGTATACACCTCAATATCCAATGGAGCTATTTTAAACAGGTTGCTACACTGGCAAGGAAATTTTCATTACTTGTTCTGTTACGAAACTGAATTTTAGTCTTTCAAATTGAGATACCTAAATAACGGGACGGCAAAATTTTCCTCCGCTCCGGGCGGCTGACACCCACGCTACTCTGCTGGGTGCAGCTTTGTGCCAAGTTCTAGACAAATATGTAAAATGTTTATGGTCGCAACAAGTACTAGATACTTTAGATGAAGAGCGAGCATCGAACTCAAAAACGCGATATCGATATTCAAAAGTACTCCTGTGCCTAAACCCATCTGGTAGTTGGTCGCGCTTTACCAATAGACTGACTATATGGTCTATTCTGGTTTTTCTTCACGTATCTAATTCCTAAACGGACTAATTTCCCATAAACACTCCTCCCGAGAGTCATTTTCCATTGGCAGATTGGCCATGTATCGTGCTGACCTAGCTCTTCAAACCAAACTAAACCAAACCACTGTATAAAGATTTTAAAATGAAGGAAAATGATATTATAAACGTATTTCAGGTTACTAACGTAAACAAAACACGGAAAATATCATGCGGCTAACCTGTTGGAGAGACGCGAACCCACTTATCAATGTTTAAAGTATATAAGTACAGGTTGTATACATACGTGTCACAAAAAGAACAGCTTTTTAATATTCATATCCCCAATGTCAATACATATTGTTCTATCAGAGACAGTATACGTAGCATCTATAATTACAATACGGGTATATATACAGTATATTATTTATCTTTGCAATTATAATGTAAAAATATCATTTTAATTGAATTTTAAATAGCAAACGGATTGGACAAGTCACTTTAAATGACACAAAAATTACGACAAAAATTAAATACTCGTACATTAATTAATTATTAATTCATAAAAAAAAACGACATAGACAGAAGAACGACAAAGAAAGATGAAACTTGTTATGAACGATAGGGTAGACAAAGGTCGGATTAGACAGAGTTCGAATGTCCAGTTACGAAGGCGATCTACTTCAAGGGATGAGAAATGTGTTCGATATTCTTGCATTGACACAGTATAATATCATTTATGATCTAAGCGACTAACAAAAATCAATATAGGGATTTGTCTGCTATATAGTTTCAAGTAGGTGTGGCAGGATGGCCGAGCTGTCAAGGTGGTAGCCTACATCTCTGTGATACCCGGGATCGATCTGGATGGGTCAAATAATTCCAGGAATTTTTCGGAAGGTTGTCCGACCGGATATGTCGGGGCCCGTCTTCCGCCACCCGTTGTGAGCCTGCCCGAGCCCGTAATGTGCTTGCAAAAAGAGGTCCTAATAATCTAATAATAAGTGGTGTGATTGACTTTTCCTAACAAACTATTATCTTCATTGAAAGTAAACAAAACACGTGCACAAGACACGTCAACAATAGAGAGATTGCGGCCGACGTTTTCAGACCAAAACGTGAACGTCGGATGTCGAGCGCCGCCATCTGGAAATTCTAGAAGGTTGATAATGGCGTTCTCTACGTCTAGCATGGCAAGTAGAAGTTTGGCTTAAACTTCTTCATTTTTTGTGTTTGAGGTTAAAATTATGGCATATTTTATTAAAATAATGATTATTTAAGCATTTATGAATAATATTGTAAAGAAACACGATTTTAATCCAGAAATTATTTAATTATTCAATTTTTTTGCAAGTGATGTGAAATATCTACAGAATTTACATATATTTCTGTTCATAATCCTGTAGGAGTAGGTTTGTTCTTTCACAGCATCTATCATCAACATTGTAATACGTTTGTAAATTTTCTAAAAATAATTTCCCGAGCTGCTTTCGGATAAGCCACTACTTCCATCGACAAAAGTATGAAGTAGTCCTATCGTATGGTAGGAGACACGACGCTAATTAAAATAATTATTTAGTGTTATTAAACATCCTATAAATACTTTAAAATAGTTTAATTTGTTTATTTACCTTCGCTGGTAATATTAGTCGTTGTCAACCTTTAAATTCTCTTCACAAATTTTGGAGAAACCAAAAGTCTGACAGTACCAGATTCAGGCTGTAAGAATGAAAAGGAATAATCCACAATCTTTTTATGGCCCAAATGGATCAAGGAAAATCGGAAAGTTTTTCCATTCATAGATACGAAATTGAAAATTTGAAAAAAATATATCGCTATAAATGATGATTATGTTGAAAAATTAATATACAGTATATGATTAAAATAAATGAATTTTACAACTATTACTTTTCCTGCTTTTCAGTGGCGTGCGGTGACATTTGATCATAGAGAAGCTGTGTCCGCACTGGACAGAATCATTGAAAGCGTTATACGATATTTTGGTGTGTAGCATCCACAATCTAAACCGCGTGAGGTTTAGCTCGTGGGTGTAAAGCTCATGTGCGAATGCCTGTAATCTGGCTGCTTTACACGATTCAAATATTTTCTCCGTGGAAGCTGTCCCGTATTCGATAATACAACGCTTCCATTGGGAATATGCATATACGAATTGATATTGTCATTGTTTTTCACATGTAGTATAGAAATTTGAAAATACATAATGCAGTTATAATAAAATATGAATTTTAAATAATGCAAAGTACGTTAAGATATGAAAATAATTGCAGAACATGTATTTATATTTTAGAAAATACAAACCATGGAAGCTGTGGAAGCGGTGCTTCCACAGCTTCCATGGACGGCACACTACTGTTGCTATTGTGAGAACCGAGGGGGTAGAGCGCCGAGCTTCTCCCCACTTACCGGCGGCTCTGTCAGAGATGGCTGGGGTTAATTGAGTGGGAAGGGATAGCGAGGTCGTGACAAGGTGTCGATTGAACTCAAGGATGACACCGCATTAAATATAACATATTTAATTATCTAAACTTATACAAACGAATACAAATCAAAAAGGCTGCAAAAAGGTAATAATTCGTCTAATAAGACTCTAAAGATTAACTAAGATCTAACTCTAAAGACATAATATTATCTGTTCAAGTATGATCGAGGGAGCGACGAGGAACGAAAAAGAGAGAGTATCAAAATTTGGCTAATTTATTAACTCTCAGGTTTCTGATCTCGTTGTATGGGACGTGGGTAAAACGAATCTGGATCGGCGGTCTTCTCCATTCAATCAAGTCAGCTATGCTCGGAAGACGGTGATTATGGCGGGAAGCCAAGGGTTGCTACGGACGGAATGGCGGTACGGGTCTGGTATCCCTCTAATGCCCGCTGGTTATACTCTCAGCTATGGACGTCCGCCGTTGATATCCGCTGTGGTGGGTGTCCGGCTGTGTCCGCTCTGAGGTGCAAGTGCGACCCCTTTTTATACACGTCCCGGAGGGGGAATTATCGGGGGAAAATTTGATGTAAGTTCGGCTTGCGTCAAGAGTTGTTTTCTTGACTTGTCAGGAATCGAACGGTTCTTTTGATTTATTACGTTTTCTTCTCGTTATTGTGACACTTTCCCCTCATAAATTTGACAACATCTGCCAAACTTACTGAATTAATTGCCACAGGTGGCTAAGTTCAGAACATCTGCGGGGCCACCTGGGTGATGATTGTGTAATTGTGAATAATTTGATCGGATAGGTCTACCCTTGCATGTTACTCTCTATCATGTAACAGGTAGAGGTTCCTGTTAATTGGCCACTTATTTGTACATTGTAACGAAGGTGGAACTGAATAATCTCCTGTTGTGAGGGGAGAACTTTATCTGTCGTCCTAACCATCTTTGAAAGTCTAGAACAGGGGTCGGCAACCTGCGGCTCGCGAGCCACATGCGGCTTTTTGGATGTGAAACTGCGGCTCTTTAGTTCCATACGCAAATATTATTTATTTTATAAAAAAAAAACATTTAAAAATCGTTCTGAATCGATTAACGAGGATTAGGCACCGATTCTATCTCTCAGCCACTTGTACTCGCTTTTCACCGCACCCCTCCCCCGTGACACGCGTAGTCACTGTCATCAGTCCGTTGGAAGCTCTCGAATGACGCCGTCGTCGGATGTTTCTATGAGTTTTAATTCGCTTTCGACGCAAGACAATTTTTCTTATGAATAAATAGATTAGTTTTTTTTTATCAAAAAATTTTATTTATGCGAGTATTTATTGTTGGCAAGAAAACATTTTGTGGCTCTTTAAAAACTTTGAAATTTTGTAAATTGTAATTTTCGATTCTTCCGACTCAAAAGGTTGCCGACCCCTGGTCTAGAAGGTCACCTTTTCGAAGTGACGCAGTACACTGATAGATCAAAAGTTCTACACCTAAACTCCAGGAAAGGAATAACTGGAGGAAGAAGGGAAATAATGATAAAAACTTTATAATGGTTTAAGCTTTAAAACTTCCAAAAGAGTCCGAATCCTCACACTATTATAACATAACACAAAAAAATTTGTAATTGTGTCAATTTGGCTCTCTAGGTTTTTTATAAATCTCAACATTTTGAGATCCCTGAATCCAAAAAAGTGGAAAAAATTCCAGGATGTATGTTAGCACTGCTTAATATCTCAGGATGGGATATAGATTAAGTAATTAAATCTTGCATCATAACTTGTACAGTATACAAAGGGCATTTAAATTTTGGAGTACAGAACTCGAAGGGTTGGGGAGATAGAGGAGGTAATATGTCATATCTTGAATGGAATCGGGCNTGATTTTTAAATAATGCAAAGTACGTTAAGATATGAAAATAATTGCAGAACATGTATTTATATTTTAGAAAATACAAACCATGGAAGCTGTGGAAGCGGTGCTTCCACAGCTTCCATGGACGGCACGCTACTGTTGCTATTGTGAGAACCGAGGGGGTAGAGCGCCGAGCTTCTCCCCACTTACCGGCGGCTCTGTCAGAGATGGCTGGGGTTAATTGAGTGGGAAGGGATAGCGAGGTCGTGACAAGGTGTCGATTGAACTCAAGGATGACACCGCATTAAATATAACATATTTAATTATCTAAACTTATACAAACGAATACAAATCAAAAAGGCTGCAAAAAGGTAATAATTCGTCTAATAAGACTCTAAAGATTAACTAAGATCTAACTCTAAAGACATAATATTATCTGTTCAAGTATGATCGAGGGAGCGACGAGGAACGAAAAAGAGAGAGTATCAAAATTTGGCTAATTTATTAACTCTCAGGTTTCTGATCTCGTTGTATGGGACGTGGGTAAAACGAATCTGGATCGGCGGTCTTCTCCATTCAATCAAGTCAGCTATGCTCGGAAGACGGACGGTGATTATGGCGGGAAGGCAAGGGTTGCTACGGACGGAATGGGTCTGGTATCGGACGGTACGGGTCTGGTATCCCTCTAATGTCCGCTGGTTATACTCTCAGCTATGGACGTCCGCCGTTGATGTCCGCTGTGGTGGGTGTCCGGCTGTGTCCGCTCTGAGGTGCAACTGCGACCCCTTTTTATACACGTCCCGGAGGGGGAATTATCGGGGGAAAGTTGATGTAAGTTCGGCTTGCGTCAAGAGTTGTTTTCTTGACTTGTCAGGAATCGAACGGTTCTTTTGATTTATTACGTTTTCTACCCGTTATTGTGACACTTTCCCCTCATAAATTTGACAACATCTGTCAAACTTACTGAATTAATTGTCACAGGTGGCTAAGTTCAGAACATCTGCGGAGCCACCTGGGTGATGATTGTGTAATTGTGAATCATTTGATCGGATAGGTCTATCCTTGCAGTTGACCTTTTTGTTACTCTCTATCATGTAACAGGTAGAGGTTCCTGTTAATTGGCCACTTATTTGTACATGGTAACGAAGGTGAAACTGAATAATCTCCTGTTGTGAGGGGAGAACCTTATCTGTCGTCCTAACCGTCTTTGAAAGTCTAGAAGGTCACTTTTTCGAAGTGACGCAGTACACTGATAGGTCAAAAGTTCTACACCTAAACTCCAGGAAAGGAAAAACTGGAAGAAGAAGGGAAATAATGATAAAAACTTTATAATGGTTTAAGCTTTAAAACTCCCAAAAGAGTCCGAATCCTCACACTATTATAACATAACACAGGAAAATTTGTAATTGTGTCAATTTGGCTCTCTAAGTTTTTTATAAATCTCAACATTTTGAGACCCCTGAATCCAAAAAAGTGGAAAAAATTCCAGGATGTATGTTAGTATGTATTTTGCTTAATATCTCAGGATGGGGTATAGATTAAGAAATGAAATCTTGCATCATAACTTGTACAGTATATAAAGGGCATTTAAATTTTGGAGTACAGAACTCGAAGGGTTGGGGAGATAGAGGAGGCAATATGTCATATCTTGAATGGAATCGGGCATAATGAAAATTTTATTTATTATTGAATTTACAATACTGTATTTAACAAAATTTGTTTTTGCCTTTTTATAAAAATTAATAATATAAAAATGATAATATATTTAATTAATATTTAACAAATCTTTAATTAAATAATAATATTATTTAAGATAAATAATTTTACAATTATTTTTGATATATTTTAATTTTCTTATTTGACTTAGGCACAATTTTGTCATTAAATATTTTAAGAAAAATTACATATAAGTTATATATTTATTATGTGAGGAATATTAAATTACACTTTGTCATGTGTTATCATTGTTTAATTTACGAACAGTTGTTCCTTCACACGATAAAATAGATAGTTAAACTGATGGTGAAACTTCTTAACAACAAAATAAAAATAACGAATTTCAATAGAATTAAAATTTATTATTAAGTAATTATTATATTTTACATATTCAAATATATTTGTTTAGCAATTTGTGTTTTTCAAATCATTTAATGTCAAATCCCAGAAAAATTCATCTTTCAATTCTTCAGGATGGTTGCATGAAAATGATATATAATCCTTTAGATTGACTTTTAAAATAGAAGCAAGATCCATATTACAACAGATATCATTGTCTAAAAATAAATTTACCATTATATTTATTCATAAAAATGTCAAAAAAATAAATCACTTTCATTATAATTTATAAAATTTTGCTTTATATATATACCTTGTAAATCGAAAAAAAATCGTTGTCCAAGAAACAAAGGTCGAAAGACTTTTGGAGAAAGAAACTTGATCTTATTTTCAGTCATAAATACTAATTTCAAACGTGGTATATTTAACAGAAAGTCATCCGGAATAAATTCGATTTCATTTTTACTGTAAATAACTTAATTTTTCATATTTTTTAAACTTTTAATTACTATATTAATTTCGTTATTACTTACCTTAAATTAATATTTTCTAAGTTCGTAGCGGGATCTGGAAGAAGATCTCGATGAATGGTATGAATTTCATTATTTTGCAAATCTAAATGTTTCAAATTGTCAAGATTTTCAAACGCATTCACAGCAATATGTCTAATGCCATTAGACATAAAAGTAATTTCTGTAAGCGAGGATAGATGTGGAAATTTGCGTTGAATACCTTTCCAGTTGGAGTCTAATACGATTATACGTGACAAAGAATCCAAATCTTTCAACGTATTCCAGTTCCATGAAGAAATCCCAGTCATGTTACTAACAGTTAATGTATTCAGACTCCTTTCCAATCCTCTGAACGTATTATTTTGTAAACCTAATATTTTACTGTCAGATATACCCAAAGATGTAATATGAAGATGTAAAAAACTATCATTAGGCAGATACATCATATCAGAATTCTTTATATTCAAGTGTTTGACTTGATACTGGGATAAAATTTCGGTTATTTTTACAAATTCTTTCGGATTAATTAAATTACTGCAGTCTATAACTGTGGATACTTTAGGACTACAATAACACTTTGTCAAATCTTCTGGAGGAGGACATGAATTTTTAAGTATCTTCCCATTTCCTTCAATATAAAATGAAATTACATAAACAAGAATTAATGATTTCATGTCGAACGTTTATCCAACTGTTTTTTATCTCAATGAATTGGTTGTTTTATTTATCTGAATTTGTAGTAGTATCAAGCTTGATTAAAGATTAGTTTTGACAAAAAAACATTAAAGATAAGTATAGCCTACAGAAAATTCAATTTTAGAAAATTTACTATTATAAAAAGTTTAAGAAAAAATACGGAAAAATCAGATTTTTACTTTTAGGAATTATAATTTTTTCAAAAATCTATAGTATGCTGTAAAATAATTCGTGTATTTCATAATCTAAAATTTAAAAAATTTGAAAACAAAAAATTCTAAATAAATTTTACTTAAATAATAAATTGAATATTTAAGAATTTTTTTTTAAATTAAAATTTTTAAATTAAAAAAAAATTAATTTAATTTAAATAACTGTCCGCTATCAAATTTTATTTTTATATTACTATATGCAATTTTATAATATTTAACACTGAACTATAAAGGATTTAAGGTAATGGGAACCAAATTTAGAAGTTTTATCTATTGTCTTCAGCTAAACTTCATAGTTCTTCTCTTAGTACTTTTAGCAAAGAAAAATATTTATATGTCCTATAAAAAATATTTTTGCTATTATTTATTTAATAAAAACGTCGAAACTTCTTGACTTTTGATGAAAGACAATATAATGAGATTGTGCCGTTTCAAGGACATTATATTGCCTTTTTTATTATATAACAGGTAAGCCTGGCGTTACCCGGACAAAAAATAAGTACAGACATTAAGATTATTAGATTATTCTGTACTTCTAACCCTTCTATTATATTATATTATAGTATTCTGTACTTCTAACCCTTCTATTATATTATATTATAGTATTCGATTTATGTAACTATAGAGGTTCTCTTGCATCAGGATTTATCACACCAAGTGACCAATCTAACATATTTTAAAAATTCTTTAAATTGTATACAGTAAAGGAAGAAATTTCTTAAAATGTGTTAGATTAGTCACTCGGTGTCAACCCTTACATAAGATAACCTTTGTAATTATATAAATCAAATTGTGAGGCCGATTGGGGAGAAAGTGTCACGACAATCGAGTGGTCAGCACTATCGCGTGGGAGTGGAAAAACTTATTGAGACAGGCCCTCCATCGCAAACAGTTTATTAAATATAAAAATTTCGCTTACAACTACTGTTTTACTTCGGCGTAGGGCCTATCCAAAGAGTGAATCAGTTCGTAAATAAAGTGCAATCGTTTGGACGATCTTCTCTTCTTCTGGCGAAGATGATGAGGAAAACGTAGGCTCCGAGGCGCACAGCACAACTTGAAGGGGTGATTCTCGTAGCAGGTTACACTTGACGAAACTTGCCGGGACGGAATGGCGAAAACTTCTTCCGGAATGTCGATCAAGTTTCCGTTGTTGAACCGCAGAAAAATCCAGGAGCGGAGCACACCGAACTAAGAACCAAGAACGTCACCTCCTTTTTTCGCGCGATTTTTATAAGTTTTTTCTGGGTCCCAGGTCGAACATTCCGATAGGTCGATGCCGATCTGCTCCCGCTCTCTAATTGGTCCTCCCTCCTCGTTACGAATTGTAACGAGATCGGAGCCCAGATCGCGGGGTGAGTCAACACCGACTGACAATTTGATTCCTATCGAAGATGTTCGATCTAAGCACTCAAATTCATCTATCGTTTCATTCTGAGAAATTTGTTTTTTCTCAGAAATTTCTATAGATATGTCTTTATATGAATATAAAATATTCATTTTGCGTTTGATGGTTTCTTTTACAATATAAAATAATAATTATTATTATTAATTTTTTTTCATACGAAATTAAAAACATTTTCTGTGCACGAATTTCGACCCACTTCCGGAGCTTCACAAAATACTATAATATAACAAATATTAAAACAAAAACCATATAAAGAGTTTGGCTATTTTATTTTATCTTACCATTGTTATGTTTTTCGCGATATGTACGAAATGGCACAATTTCATTGGAACGTTATTATTTGGCAGTTATCACGTGCTAATGATTATAATTTTCTTTAATATATTGATTGCCATTCTAACAAATACTTTTCAAACAGTCGTGGTAAGAACTTTCGTCTTTCGTACTTAAATTAGCATGTAGGATGTATTTGCCCGTTCGGAACTATAATGTCGGTGTGGATTCCGAATTGGAAATGCCTCGTAACTTCGCTTTGTTATTCTGAATTAAGCGAACGATTCGATGTTTAAAATGTACGATTATCATAAACATGCCGTCGGATTATTTTTTATACTCATTTTCATACACGAATTATCGTCACGCGGCTTCGATGAAGTCCTCGGGACAGAAATTGAGAAAAAATATCCCGATATTTTGGATATAGAATCTCAAATGAATATTGTTTCCGGCTCCAATATCTCTTTAAGATGTAGGGGAAATGGAAAGTTATATTGGATTTTTCCGGATCATTCTATCTATAACGAGAGAGCGAATATTCGAGATTTCAAAAGCAACGACAGTTGCTTTTGAAGTGCCAAAAGTGCCAAGTACCAAAGTGATCTTGAAATAGAAAATGTGAACTACAACGATACGGGAATTTATCAATGTTGTTTCGCATCCCGTTATTTCAGATTTTGCGATAGTTGCTACATTTTTGTTAACGATGAGGAACATCTCTTTCTTCCCACCAGCGACTTAATTATCGTCTATGGTCAAAGAAAATCGTTTATTCCTTGTAGACAGATATTTTCCGATTTAGAAGTGACTCTGTGGCGACGTGGCGAATACGTGAAACTCAATGAAAAGATAAAATTTGATCCTACCAAAGGATTTATCTTAACAAATGTCATTTCGTTCTTTTCTGATTTCTTACAATGCAAAGCTCAATTTAAAAACAACGAGCAAAGTTTAATGTTAAAGCTTTACTATGTATACGAGGATATCCGGCCGCCTTCGATAAATTTAAATAGTACTGTAGACATTCGTAAAGGTTCGAGTATCGAAATAAAATGCAATGGGGAGAAGAACGTGTATTGAAACCTTCCCCGAAATGCGTTACTTTTGGAGAAATCTGGTAAAAAGAAATTTCGAGAAGATGCCGAAAATGGCCGAGAAATCTCGATTAGAATCGAAAATGAGCAAGTATCGGATTCGGGACCTTACATGTGCTGTTATAGAGACTATAACGACTGCCACGTGAACAGCACCGCTTCGTACATCTTTCTTCGTGTCAACGATCGCGAGCATCTCAATATTCCGGAAGTTCAAACCGTCATATTGGAAGAGTGGCGATGTGCCTCTTACGTCATTCAGTGTCTTCCGTCCTTTCCCGACGTCACGGTGCACTTACAGTTTCGTCACAATTCGTCAGAGGCCTCATTTAACTGCTAAAACGACTTTTCTTATGTGGAAACGTTGGGTTTCGTTCCCCTCGACGATAGAAAGGTTCGAAAGGTCTACCAGTCGGGAACGTTCGCCTGTCGATACGTATACAGAAATCACCATGGCCAGATATTCATAATTTATAATGAATATTACGGATCGAAGTATCGTTCCTCATCCTTCAGCTACACTAGTTTACCCCATTACGGATTAGACTTGCTGGTAATGAGCATAATCGTAACTGGCTATAATATACTTGTGTCATAAACTCATATTAAAGAAGCTTTATTTTTTGTGTCGGCATTATACTAGATAATTATTTTAATGATTCAGAATAATGCCGACATGGAATGGAAATATATCAGAACCAGACAATGTGCTACATATTTTTATGTGGACGAAACCGTACCCAGTTTTTTCAATTTGATGCTGAATTAATACGAAATATGTTCTAAGTTACGTTCTTTAATAGAAGCGACAAAGGTCTACGATCCATCAAGACTACGACTTTTACGAGGATATTTGGCTTGGCTGGTATGTGAATAATACATTCATTAGAATTTTTTGCAATAAAAATCATTCGTAATAATACATTCATTAGAATTTTTTGCAATAAAAATCATTCGTAATAAATTTCAGAAATGTTGCTTTGTTGATAGATGAAACTGAAATCGGAGACGAGGAAGCAAATAAAGTAAGTTTTAATTGTAAAAATTTATATTACAAACTGAAATTTAATTATTGTAGTTAGATATTTCGTTTTTCTTTCCTACGAAATAGGAACTGATGCGAAAAATTATTCAAAAATACTTACCAACGAAAGTCAATATTAATCACGATTTACACAATATTAACTGTAATAAAATGATATAAACTTTTTCTGTATATATTGTATATTCGAAAATAAAATCATTTCTAGGTGAATCAATTTAAATTCTCAAATGTAAAGCTATGTTTGTATTTTTTGCTGTTGAGTTCGATATTTGCCAGTAATAATCTATTTATAATTTTAAAGCTGGTCTATTTTTTATCTTAAATTTATTTATCTATTTATTCCTTTTTAAAAATCATTTTGACATTGATTGAAAATATTCATTAAAATCATTTTTAAATATTTTTTATCACTAAAACATATTTTGTAAATGATTAAAAATTATTATTATTTTTAAATATCTTTTTTGTTCTTAATTTTATTCCATTATTAAATAAATATAAACATAATTCATATACTGTATTATGAATATAGAAGCAATTTAACTACTATATAAAATTTATATTAAAATCACAAAACCAAAATACACTATTAAACTATTCTATTTAATGTAAATAAAAGCAATATATGTACAATACATTAAAGTTCTTTCTTGTTTAAGAACATATAAACAATATTTTGTAGGATTTTCAAAATTTAGTGTTTGTTTTAAATATTCAGAGCAACGAAGAAACAAAAGCAGCGGATTCTTGTATTTCATAAAATATCTATCATGCAATTTCATACCAAAAATCCACAATTAACAATTTTTTCTCATTTCATTTTCTTAATTTTTCTTTCGGTGCTTTAAAATTTAATAAAATTTTCCATATCCATCTCTATAAACATCTCCATGTCCTCCAAACCTTCCATATCCTCCTCGATTCGCCTCATATCCTCTATCATCGTAA